AGAAACAAACTTACCTTTCATTTGCAGTCATATTACACAAAAATGTTTCTTCATCATTTATAGCCTGGAATTCCGGACCAAAGACATCTTTCACCAGATCTGACAAACGTGGGTTTTTCTTAGCTTTTTCACACAACATTGTAACAGTTTCTTCATCATAATCATCAGAGGCAACCCAGGCAACAAGTTCGTCCTCTGTTGCACGCCGACCGCAATGTTCTAAAGCAGCTAGTAAATATTCTTCACTATAATTCATGGACATACCCTCAAGAGTTTCTTTTGCAGCAGTAAATGTTTCAAGTGAATTCTTCCGTTTTCGCATGATTGGCTGAATCACATCTATTTCTTCTTCGACATTTTCCATCAGAATTTCCTCACCTTCTGTGTCACTTGCAAAATATTTTTGCTCATCTTTAAAACCTTCCTCTGTCAAAAATATGGAGTTCTCAGGTATCATTTTTCTTAAAACATTTGCAAGAAGCAAAGGATCAATAATCTTGTTAACAGCTTCTAGGAGCATAAAAGTCTGTAATGGTAGTTCGTCCATCGCCACCTTGCCAGTGCAAGCTTTTGCTAACTCTTTTCTCAAATTCAAGATCTGTTTCATTGTAAAATGGTTTAAAAAATAGCACCTGTGTCTTTCACCATTTATATTTTCCTTCCATTCCTTCAAGTCGTTTTCCATTGTTTTACAGGTTTCATCAATGTTCTTTAACAACTCTTCTCTACACCTTTCAATTTTGCTACACTCAAATTTTGTTTTCCATGTTAGGTAGTCGATCTCGCCAACTTCACAAAGTTGCAAGTACAAATTACTTACTCGGAGTATTCCTTCAAAAACCTGAAATATTAAAAACACCAAATATTGTAGATATTGTAGAATTACCGACTTTACCATTACAGTTAATTGTTCATGATAACTCATGATTTGCTTCATGTTCCTTTCAGTAATGAAAAATTGACTTTTTGAATAAACGTTTTAACAGCCGCATAATTGCTAGTTAGAAAATAGCCAGATATTTTAAAAATAAAATACTTTTTACAGTAAAACAATCCTAGCTACGTTAGTGTTGGATAATACGTATGTAAAACACTCCTTCCCCTCTGTTACAATTATGACGTCATAGGGCCCCTTGGAAAGTTTTGCCCCAGGCTCTCCCCACGCACCCTGTCGATGACAATGTGCGACACCATACGTTGTCTAAAATCTAAATATGCAGGAAGTTTCATATTTGACTTACACAGGAAATTGTTTTTTTTTATTTTACTTTCAGGAAGAGAAATATAATTTCTAGATCTGCCATTTACACTCCTTGTTATAAGCCGCAGTTTTTTGTTGGTTTTTAGACTTTTTAGCCAATTTTAGACAATCTTAGACAATTATACGACAGTGCTGCGATAGATACCATTATCTCTGAAGTAGATCATTGCTAAAACACAAAATAATATTCGCAAACAATACATTATGCATCTTCAAGTAATACAATACACCATTCTGGAAAGTGCACGGCCTTGGCTATAGAGCCTCGTTTTCATTATTGAAAACGAGGTTAAGAGACTTTATCTGGTTAGAGGCGATGATACATTTACGAAATCACAGTTATATAGGACCTTTATATAACTAGAAATACATGCATGCAAAAGTCGCTCGTTTTGCTAGCAAAACCACTATATTTTCCAAACATAAAGTATTTGAAGTGGTTGTCAGCGAAACACAATTACTTTATTCTTTTACATATTTGTTAAATTGAAAAAAACACAGCAACAGTCTGAAATTATGCGTAATACCAACTTCAATTTAATGTAAAACGAAAAACGTTTTAAAAAGTTCATAAAACTAAACTGCCTTATACAAAATAACTTTGCGTTCCCCTTTATTTAAAGATTTACGATAATCTAAATTGCACAACATCAAGTTTTTTAAAGCAAAAAATACGCTTACTAATCTTAAAAGCAAATTGCCCAGATTTTATTTATGAAGAAAAAACAAACAAACTGTTTGTATTGGCAACTCATCACATTAAACGATTATTCGGGTTTCTCGTTCATGTTTTTATTTTCAAATGCCACGCCTAAAATTCGTCATATACTTTTGAGATCAGTGGGAGTTCCACCCATTAAACATAGTGACGCACCGGCGATCATAGATAAACTTTAGACTTCCCTGATGCTTTTCATTTCCCGGGTGTTAATAGCCGAGTGAAATAACTTGGCTCGGGGATCATGTCATCAATAACTAGACAAAGTGCTCTAAAGCCGAATTCTCACTCCGGAAAGAGAGGCTATGTAGCCAAGGTTAGGTACCTTTCGGAGAGGTCTACTGATTTTCAATTATATTTTTTAATCCTTAATATTTTGTTGGGAATGGATTATGTTGAGAAAATATATTCGGGAACTATATATAGTCGTTTGGTTGAAAAGTGCCAAAGGTTCTTGCATGCATGAATTCCTAGTCTACCGCATAAATTTAATTTTTGAAGTTAGCTGAGCGAAAAACTGAACATGGCTATAACAGTGCATTTTTTCTGTACACTCTGTGTACAAATTGTTTCGTCTTTCTCATTCATAATTATTTTCGGTATTCATACCTGTACTTTGTAATTCGTAATTAGGGCCTGTTTATATGG